CTGTTACACAGAAGTTGTGGAGGTAGTAAAATGTTAATCTTACACTTCAGCTCTTCTACACATTCTGTAAATATTCAACTACTAAACATTCCTTGTGCACATATTTTCTAAGTTAGACATCTCCATTGATATTGGTGCAAAACATTACATTACATTTCAGTTCTTTGTTTTTTTGTGTGTCTCTTGGACAACCCCTGTTTGACTCCCACCTCATCATCTCATCATACTCACTGGCCTTTCCAGCACAACTTGACTTGGTGATCTGACCATCATTTATCTCCTCCACCTCTGCTTATTTGCTGTCCCGGTAGAAATTTTCCCAGGTTTCTGATGACCACAGGGTCATTTTTAACTTGGTTCTGCCTCTTTGTTCTCAGTCCCCACCACCTCTGGTGCCTGTACCCGTCTTAGCCCTAGCTGACATGGCTACAGGTCGTCAATCTACGTTTCTCCCTCCTCTGTCAGATCTGGTACAGTTTTGGCCTTTGAGTCTTACCCCACTTTACAATCTTCCACCCACAGTCTCTCAAGGGCACCAGACTCAGGAGCTTGCTTTATCTGATGATTGTACTACTTTTGGGATCTGCATATAAATTCTCTTCACATCAGCAAGGGGTATCTCATTACTTTCTGCAGAAATGCAGACGCAGATATTAGAGATGGTGGGGTATCCCATGGTATGTTTTAAAATAATTTCATGCAGAACTGCACTATTCTGTAAAACTATCAGACAGCGTAGTGAATCATTAAAGTACAGCAGCTTTTTGTGGTTGCCATACAAATCTATATATTGCTAAATGTTTACTAAGCCTACAGCCCTGTGGGGCACCTATATTGATGGTCAGCATGAAATAAATCTTTCCATCAACACTCACAGTGGTCTGCCAGTCAGGAAATCCAGAATCCAGTTGCTTAAAGAGGTGCTGATGCCCAGGTCATTCAGTTTCCTGACTAGTCTGGATGGAACTATATAGTTAAATGCAGAGCTGTAATCAATGAATAGCATTCTGACATAATGTACAGTATGTGACTTTATTATCCAAATGTGCCAGGGCAGTGTGAAAAGCCAGGGAAATTCTATCGTCACTGGACGGTATGCATATACCATACATGCAAACTGCAGGGGGACTAAGTAGTCAGGTACCATTGTGTTAATGTGCCTCATGACCAGCCTTTTAAAGCATTTCATTACGGTAGATACTTTAATCATTTAATCAGGTCACAGTATTTTTCTTCAGCACTGGTGTAATTGTAGTTTTCTTTAAAAACAATCAAAGATTGTAAAAGTGAAAGGAACACCATCTGGGCCTGTTGCCTTCCATATGTTCACCCGTCTGAAGGTTGCCCTGACTTCAGCCTCGATGACAGACATAGCTGTATCATCAGCTGGCTGGGAACATTGGCGCTTGTGGCTCTCCGATTCCCTTGTATTCCAGGTTGTATTTAGTCTGTTTAGTTAGTTGCCTTTTAGCGTCCCTGATAGCTCTCCGCTGGTCATACCTTGCCTTCTTGTAAAGGTCCAGATTGCAGATGACTTTAGGATGCTCTTTCCAAGTGAGCACAGTGTCTTTCACTGAGTTACTGTAGTTGTTTTCTGTATTTCATTCCAACACCCAGATCATACATGGTTCTCATTCACTCTACAATATGGCAGACATTCTCAGATCACTGTTCCTTGAAAACTGTGATTAGCCAAACAGACTCG